GCGGTTCATGCTATCACCCACGGCGCCTCGATCAATTGGGCAAAATACGTCATGATTCACATGGCGGATTGCGCCTCCATCGCCACTGAGCGGAGCTTGCCATACGCCTTCCTCGTCATGGACCTCATCATCTCCGCCGACATCTCCATCGCCGGCCCGGATACGAAGATGACAAAGATTTGGATCATCCAAGACAGCATCTTCCGGAAGAAGTCCGGTGACGGAACCGGCGCTGGACCGAGTCGTGCCCGTGCCCCTGCCCCTGCCTCCGCTCCCGCCAAGGCGTCCTTACAGTCCATAGCTGATACTCTGAATCGGCTAACCCTCACAGTGGATGGCATGGGGCAGTCAATCGAGCGGATGGACTAAACGCTGCAACGCCAACACCATGACATGACGGCGTTCTTCCGCGGCATCAACTACGTCCCGCCGCCCTTTGACAGCAACTTCCTCGGCCAAAACTATGAAGGCGAGGACGAGGAGGATAACTCCTATGCTCCATCCTCCTCCCCCGACGAGGCCGATTTTGAGGACGCGGTCGACGGGGATCCCATGGACGTTGAGGACGACGAAGAAGACGATGACGCCGAGGATGAGGACGCCGCTGCCTAAACTCTTCTTTCTTTTCCTTCCTTCCTATGATTGTTTTTTTATTATTATTTCCATTCCGTTGTATTGTGCATTTTCTCCTTTTTCATGAATAAAAGTTTACTTTTATACTCCAAAGTTCACTTTTAATTCTTTTTGTTAATGTCAAAAGGGGGAAGATATCAAGGTTATGCATAAATTGAGGGGGAATTATTTTTTCAAATAAAATGGCATCTATTAAGGGGGAACACTTTTTTAAAAAACCTCAAAGACTTCCTCATATGCATAACCTCATCTCGTTTGCCATTATCAAAAAGGGGGAAATTGTTGAAACACGGGCATGTCACGTTTTCGTACTAAAGCCGTGTTTGTTTTTATGACAGGTTTTGATAATGCCAAACCGCCGTGATCAAGTCAAACTTTGAATATACAAGGCGAAGAAGGAAGACAAGAACAAGAGCTAAAAGAAGACCAAGAACGAAGACCTTAGTCTTAGTGTCGTTGAGTCGGTCTTCATTGTGATCAAGACCGACCCAATCTTTACACCTTGGCTCTTTAGGCTAAAAACCTTCATTGCACTTCTTAAATCATAAAAATG